AAAACTTGGTTTTGAGCTTGAGGTTCAAATCTGGAATTTCCAGAATTTGGACTCACGCTCGAGTGGGGTGACTGGCGCTCGAGCATGGAAATCGTGCTCCCAACATTTTTGTTCTGTTTTGAAGTCCGCTCGAGCGGAAGAATTGACGCTCGAGCTGGACATTGTGTCACATGCTCGAGCTGGTGTCGAGCGCCCAATCGAGTGTGATTTTCACCCATCCAGCACTTTTGACTATTTTGCTTAACGCTCGAGCGGGTAATTCTACGCTCGAGCAGAAACCTCTGTCTGCATGTCCGCTCGAGCGGGGTAACCTACGCTCGAACGCGACCCCTATTTTCTGAAAATCCTGAAAATGCTTTTAAAGTGCATCTCTGCATCCTCATCCCATCCTAGGAATTCTTAGGCCTAGTTTAAGGCATCTTAACGAGGACATAGATGTAGAACACACCGAGACAAATTAGGGATTAATTTATTATTTTCCCAACTGTGTAGCTTAGTGTGTGCTCAATCTGTAACTGTGTAGGGTTGGCGACTGGAGACGCACTCTAGCTTTGCTGTAGCCCAGAACTCTGTGAGTAACAACTGTGTAAAGATATCTTCAAAATGATTATCTTCTGAACAACTGAACTGCACTGCTTTCTGAACTGTTACTGTTAATTGAATGAATGTATGTCTTATATTCTAAACTGTACTGTGGCATCCTTAGCAACTACTGTTTACTGTTACTGTTACAGAGATCTCTGTCGGTTCCCTTGTTGGAACCACTACTGTTTACTGATAGATGGCCATCATTTACTGTCCGGTCTTTTAAGACCTACTGTTTACTATACTGTTATGCTAATGGGTGTACCACATATGACTGTACTGACTGAACGACTGCAATACTAATTAAATGAACTGTTTTCAATACTAAAAAGACATTCATTCTTAACCCCTTTACGCATTGTGTTATTCACTGGGCTTTAGCTCACTGCTCATATATATATGTAGGTGTACAGGCACCAGACCGTGGTTAGAAGCGTCGGAGTAAGCTCCAGTTTTGTCAAGCCAACCACTGTACCTCACTGCGAGGTTCCGAGCCTGTCAAGTTATGGCTTAAGGGTGTTTTAGTTTCCCCTTCTGTCTCTGTAACTGTTTTGTTTACTATACTGTACTGTTTAATAGGGATTAGGTCCCTAAACTGAATGATTGTATATATGTACATACTGTTTTGTTTGACTGTATATATTTGAATGAAAAGTCTTTTTGCATACAGACTGTCACAGCTCATTGGACATTGTTTATTTACTGTATTGGCTTCCGCCAGCCCCTGTACTCTGTATTACTGTTAAGCAGGCCTTCGATAATCTTGGATTACTGGCCGGTTACGGTGCTAAACCCATAAGGGCGGGTTTGGGTCGTGACATAATCTGAGCTGAATGATACAATTGGGATTCTTCAATGAATCGTAAGAATCTTCAGAAACCCTATCCAATCCAATGTAATAGGGCGAATCATTAGGCTTCGCAATCGGACTAGCCCTAGAAGAAATGTTAGCTTGCCCTATCGATCCACGGCTCAACAAATTGGACCGCGATGCAGTCCGAGAGAGGGAATTCCAGCCGAGAGAGGAGTAGAGCTAGACGTAGTTGTTCAAATGCCTCTCTTGACTCGACATCCACGCAAACACCACCACTATTCCTTTCACTTTCCCACTATCACTGCTTGCAGTCGTGAGAGAGAGAGAGAGAGAGTATGAAATTGGGGATTTTTTTTTTGTTTAAGGAATTGGGGATTAATCGTGAGAAACAAAAAGAGGGAAAGAAAGGGCAGGGAGGAGGGGAATTCGGATAGAGCGGGAAAACGAAAAGAAAAAAAGAAAAGAAAAAAAGAGAAGAGTTAGGATGAGTGGTGTGAAATAATTTTGTAGTTAATGAAATTTTGTTTTTTGATTTTTTGTCTTTTTTTAGTTACTAAGGTTGAAAATTTATTTGTTTTATTTTTATTTTAATAAAAAAAATTATTATTTTTTTTTATTTGATAGAAGTAGGGAAAATATTCTGTTAAAATAAAATTAATTTTTTGTGGTCAATGAAAAATATTTTTTTTGTGGTCAATATTTTTTTTGTTACTAAAAATCATGAACTAATTTTTTGTGGTAGAGAAGAGGAAGCGGTAGTAGTGGTGAAGGTGGTGGATAAGAGGTGATAGTGGTGGTGGTGGTGGTGGCGGTAGTGATGGTAATGGCGAAAGAGATTAGTGGTGGAGTTGTGGTAGTGGTAGAGGAGATGGAGTGGCTATGGTAAATGAGAGGTAATGGTAGTAGTAGTGGTAGTAGTGGTGGTGGTAGTAGTGGAGTGGTGGCGATGGTGGTAGTAATGGTAGTCATAGAGGTAGAGTGGCAACAGTGATAGTAGTGGTGGTAGTGGAATGACATTTGCAGTAGTGGTGAAGGTGGTAGATGAGATGAGTGGTGAGGGGGAGAGATAAGTGAGAGACAAATAAAGAAGAGAGAGAGAGAGAGAGAGAGAGAGAGAGTAATGAGCGAGAGAGAAAGAGACAAAGTGGTCGTTAAAAGTGCATTTCTTGTAGTAGATCGACAAATCGAGAGGGAACTCGATAAATAGAGAAAGAGAGAGAGTGAGCAATGCGAACACAGTGGGAAAGAGAGAGAGAGGGAGAGAGACATACAGACAGGCAGACAGAGCGTTAAAGAGAGAAAGAAGAATGACGAGTGACGAGTGAGAGAGAGTGAGAGAGAGACGAAGAGAGAAAGCGATAGAGAGGGAGAAAAAAAAACAAAACAAGAGATGAGTGAGAGATAGACAAATAGAGAGAGAAATAGAGCGAAAATAGATAAACGAGAGAGAGTCATAGAAAAAGAAAGAGACAGAAAGAGAAGGCAGATGAGCAAGAGAGACAGAGAGAGAGATAAAGAGAAGAGAGATATGCGAGACAGATAGAGGGAAATGAAAGATGAGAGAGATAGAGAGAAGAGAAATGAGCGAGATAGAGATAAGAAGGATGAGCGAGAGAGACAAAGAGATGAGAGAGATAGAGAGATGAGAGATGAACAAGAGACACAGAGAAAAAGATAGAGAGAGAGACAGACAGACAGACAGACAGACAGAGAAGAGTGATGAATGAGAAAGAGAAAGAGAAGAGACAGAGACAAAGACAGGGACAGAGACAGAGAGACAAGAAGATGAAAAAATAGGTAAAAAGAGAAATGTTATATCAAAAGAGTAAGACGATGTCGTTTTTTTTAATTTTTTTTGCAACAGAAAAATACCATTGCATTTATTCAAACCATTTTGTGACTGTATATATATGAAGTCATCTCAAAGTCACAATATATTTATTTTTTTTACTTTTTTTTTCTACAACGATACCTATTACAGTCGCAAAAAATTCTTTTTTTTTTTTTGTGCAACTACAGTTGGTGTCGTTGCAAAAATTCTATTTTTTCGCGACAGCAATCTCTGCCGTCATAAATACTCTCCTTTTTTGCGACAGCAATTTCTGCCGTCGCAAATACTCTCCTTTTTCACGTCGACAATTTTTGTTGTCGCAAATACTTTCATTTTTCGTGACAGCATTTTTTGCCGTCACAAATACTCTCGTTTTTCGCGACGGCAAATTGTGCTGTGGCAAAAACTCGCCTTTTTCGAGACAGCAAGTTGTGACATCGCAAAAACTTGCTTTTTTTGCGACAGCAAGTTGTGCCGTCTCAAAAAGTCAGTTTTTGAGACGGTAAATGTGCCGTCGCAAATGCTTTCGTCTTTTAAGCTCAGTTTTCTTGTAGTGTAGTCTCACAATGGTTTGTTTTGTAACTTTGTATGAATTGAATTAAAAACTTAAAATTGAAAAGCACATTTTTTCCTACTTAAAAAAAATCAAAGTTTGAGACTTGTAATAAAACAAACTTTAATTTTTAAATTTTATCAATTTAAATTTCAAAATTTTAATTTATTTTTAATCTAAACCATTTACTTATTTTTATTAAATAAAATTGATGAAAAATAAATATTTTAAGCATTAAATTCAATAAAAAAAATACATTTTAAACATTGCATATATATAGATAAATATAGTTTAATAACTAAAATAATGTTTTTCAGTTTCAATTGACAAATCTTTCTGATTACATGTGATACACGCGTGTCCAAGATGGTGTGGGTCTACCGGCCCAACTAACCCAACAAGAAAAAATTATTAGTTACGTTCAATCACAATTTATTATATTTATTTATACTTTACAATTACGTAGATGTGTTTTAAAAAGATAATTAAAAATTAATTTTTTAAATTTTTTTTAACAAATATGTAAAAAAATATAAAAAATAATATGATTCAAAATAAATTAAAAATTAAAATTTTAATTAGATTCCCAAATTATTCCTTAATATATTGATGTTTTAGAAAGTTAGTAAAAAATTAATTTTTTGACTTTTTAATTTTTTTAATAATTTTTTTGACAAAAAATTAGATTATTTTAGATAAAAATACTGATATTTTTTATTAAAAAAATCAAAAAATTAAAAAATTAACTTTTTACTATTATTTTCAAAATGGCCCATAATTTATAGATCTCATCTCGTCCCTCATCATAATATTATATATTAGAACACCACGTGGAGACGTCTCCAATATCTGCCATCTTCTAAAGACAATATAAAATAGCCGCCCTAAGCTCATCCATACAAGACTTGTGCTGTGTCATCGTTTTATATTTTGCCTTAGTACTATTTTCAGTAGGTGATTATAATTAATTTTTTAAAAATTATTTATAAATAATTTTTTTTAAGAGGAGAAGCGGATTATAATTTGTTTTTTAAAAAAGGCTTAAATTTCACATCTTTTAAAAAAATTAAAAAATTAAAAAATCACTATCCTATTTAAATTATATTTTCTTATTTAAATTATATCATTTGTTTATTAAATCATTTAAATTCAATTCATATTTTATAAAAATTTAAAAAATACGCTTATTTAACACTCCTCTAAAATAGGAAATTTTTAATATTCTCCTCTCTCTCTCAGATCTATATCTATCTGATCGGAACAGCACCGACCCGTCTTCCTCCAGTTTCTGTCTCCAGAATTTCTTTTCCTGAGAAACAAACAAACAAATATCCCCCACTTGTATATTAAAGACTCTTCTCCAATCAATAACGAACTAAGATAAAATTTTAGATAAATATCCGAACTCTTCTCTTGATGTTTATCCATTTGCCCCGATTTTAGCAATTCCAAGTAAGTTCCTTTTTTTAATTTCGGATTTTCCCGGATTTTCTTCCCCTACGCTTAGGGGTTTCAAAATTTCTTCTGTTTTAAATTTTTCTCGGGAAAATTATGATGAGAAGACAAGATCAACAGTCTAGGGTTTTTTGCGAGCTCTCTGCTCTGATTCTCAACCTCCTCCGTTCTCCTCCTACGCCGATTCAGTTTTCCGATCCATCTCCGGCGGCGGTGCCTTCGTCTAGGCGACGACCGGAGACGCCGCCGATATCGCCGGCGGGGTTTGCATCGTTGTTGTTGGGGATTTCGTTGGCTCTGATGCTGTGTGGATCGGTTACTTTTTTCATTGGATTCATGTTGATGCCTTGGGTTCTTGGATTGGTGATGGTTTTCTATGTGGTTGGGATTGTCTCGAGTCTGTCGATGATTGGACGAGCAATTCTTTGTCACACCACATCACCGGCTTCGCCGAGGAAGGAGGTTCCAGGTGAGCCTTCTCATCATAGTCATCATCATCAATCCTAACGATATGTTGATTGTTTATTCATACCGTCTTTGATTTCTTTGATATTTATCGTTTTTTTTTGTGATGTATTTAAAGTCAATGATTTGTTTGCCTTTTCAGCTTTTGTATTGTTTGGAATTCTTTATCAAGTTTTTATGAATGAATAATATGTTAAATCTTTAACAAAATCTTTGGTAAAGTCAGACTGAGTTGCCGAATTTTGGGATCGCAGATTATCAAAATCAGATTTGTGGTTTAGTTATGGAATAATGCACCAATTGGCATACAATATGATATGGTATAACTTTGAGGTTTTGAATTTTTATAGTTTTTATAATGGGTGGGGTCGTAGTATTGAAGGGGCAATGTCATATATATTAATTAGTATACCACTGTTAATTTTGTGCATTGACAACAAAATACTGTTGAGTTGGATACTAGAAATGTATGTTGATGGATAGTTTAATGCATGCATTTATGGGGGAAGCAAAAATCTAGTTGTGATTTGTTTGGGGATAGAATTTGAGGAATTTAAAATTTGTTTTTGTTGTTTATGGAAGGACAAAAAAGTTAGGAATGGAGTTGCTTGTTCTGGTTTTTCGTTTTCTTCTCTGTTCTTGAAACCTGTTTTTTGTCGCCCCTTTTCTAGAATCTGGATGCGAAGCGAAACCTTTTCTATCTCACAAACTGTTCCGATTATGATCAACTGAGTTTCTCTAACTGTTGATCTTTTCCCTTTATTCACCCAAAAAAAAAAAAGATCTTTTCCCTTAGCAGATTTTGGATGCCCCATCTGCAGTTTTTTTTTTTTCCTTCGTCTCTCTCTGCTCTCTCTCTCTCTCTACCCTTCTAATTGGGTTCCTTAGTTTTGTTTAACAATTTTTTTGGGGGGAGAAATTCATCTATTTACTGCTAGACATTTACATCTGATAAATCAATTTAACTGTGCGTCTTATTTTTTAACAATTAGGCGAGCTAGTGGATCGATGTCTCTAACAATAGGATTTATGTTTTAAGATCAATCGGAGGATTTGGAATGCAAAAGGTTTAATGAAGTATAAAAATCTAGTTTTGAAGGCCCGAGATTTTTTTTAGATAGTTGAAAGAAAACGAGTAACGTTGTACTCTGGCATGATTTGCATTGAGATATGGAAAAAATCTGAGGGTTGTTTATCGAACCATTAATAAATAGTTTTCATTTACCTCATCCAAAATTCTAGGTACTTGAACTAGTCTTTGAGTTCTCATCCACTTGTTAAACCTCCATTCAGTTTGTAATCCTTTGGTTTTTGAACTTTATATAATGGATAGATAGCAAAGCTCTGTCAAATCTTCCGAATTTAATGTTTAGGGCTGGCAAAGTAGCAATTATGCATGGGCAACCTGATTTACTTACTTGATATGTACGACCTTTATAAAAGCAAAGGCAACAATATGTAACATCTTGGAATGCCACGGTTGCAAGTTGACTGATTTTACTCTATTGGCATGTTTGATTGGAAGGATTAAAGCATAGGATTGGGATTATTAATCCGTGGGCCCAATCATCCTATGTTTGTTTTGACATTTTAGTTTAGAATTATTAATCCAATGGATAATTAATCCAACAAATTTGTAGGATTATTAGTAATGGGGTAGGGGTGGGATAACTAATACCACACTAATTTAATAGGATTATTAATACCTCACTATTAGTGTTGTGAATCAAACATGGCCTATAATCACAATGGTCTTAATTCTTTGGAAAGAAGACCCGCGGGAAGGGGTTTTGAATTGCCGAGTTTTAGTTTGTATAGACAAAAGCAATAATTTGTAGATCTAGATGCCTTGCTTGAATTACAAGCCTCCATGAAACAGGCACAATGCCTCACCTCAACTAGAGAGGCTGCCAGAGTCTTCCACTTCCAACATATAAGGAACTAAACACTTGTAAACTTGCTAAATTTGGTTGTGTCAACTTGTTTAGAACCCCAATCTCAGAAATGTAGGCACAGGAAGTGGTTAGGCAAATTCATTTTAGCGTATGCCACTCAATGGTCACATTTTTAGCATATACGAAGGATCTGAGTTCACCTTTCTTGTGTTTTCAAGTGAAATCGTTTTTCAACTTCTTTTATGCATTGCTTCTGTCCATTTGTTTATTGTTGTAACTCCCTTTAACTTTTAATCCTGCAGCGTGGAAACTCTTGTGAAGGTGGTTCAGCAGTTAAGACTATACACGATGGAGGATTCAGCAGCCCTAACATACTTCTTGGTGGGGCCTCTAGCAATGTACAAGGAAAAAGAAATGTACCAGTCTTGTTGCAGAAGTGCTGCAGAATTTGTGGATACAAGTGTTATTAAGAATTACTAAAAACATGTGGATACATCTTCTACTGACAGTGAAACTGTTGAAGGTTCTCTTGATTAGTTATATTACTTTGAGGAAACAGATAGATTATTCCCTGTTTCTACTTGTTCTATTATTTATCTCAATATGATGTTAGTGTTTTTTGTGCTTTTAGTTTATGTAAAATCTTCAGCATGTGGGGATTAGGATATGCATTTGTTGTTCTATCAGGTGGTTTTGGTATGCTGGGATAGAAATGTATTGGAAGGAACTTATTAGTGTTCTCTTTATTTGGTGATGAAATGAGAAGAACAAGAAGCCTATGAAAGCACACCACCACTTCCCTAGTTGAGTACAGTTTTTTAAAAAAATTAAATTCAATACATTTGACGAGTGTAGAAAGAAATCTAATGTAAATTTACAATGTTCTCATGACTGATTAGGGGTATAGTGTTTTTCAACAAAGTTGGTCTCAGTTGATTTAGGGGAAAAAAAAATTTAACCAATCTGTCATTGGGGAATGTTGAAATTTTCATCCTCCTTACCCACGTTCAGAAAATTGGCAAATCAGTTGAATTTTTTATAGTTTCAAATTAGTTGTTTTTCAACCAGCTTACCCACGGTCAGAAAATTGGCAAGTCGGTTGAAGTAAATACAGTTTCAAATTAGTGGTTTAAATGAATTGGACGTGTTACACATTAGGAAAGAAATATCATCAAAAATTTTATAAAATTTTTTTATCATTAAATTATACATATAATAAAATATTATACTTAATCAAATGATAAAAAAAAATTTATAAAATATTTTATAATATTTCTTTCAAGGTACCTAATATTATTCAATAATTATCAATCTTAAATTATTATTATTTTTTTTGATAATTTCAAATAAATAATTGATTGTCTACTATAATTCTCAACACAAAGACGAACAAACTAATCAAATGTGTGATATTATTTAAAATCTTATTTCACAATTAGGAAACAATCAGAAACAAAATGCGTTGAAAATGAGGGATACGTGTCATTTATTTAATAATATTAAAGTTAAAGAAAAAATTATGTAAATAATTACAAGATAATTTTACATATACATATATACATATATAATAGAAATAAGATTGTGTAAATAATTACAAAATTATTTTATAAGCAGAATGGGTCAATTTATAAGCAGGTTAACAAATTTACCAGCAAGTCAATTAATTTACTATCAATTTTTATCACCAAACCAGCCCGACTATTGCACGAGTTGATTGGAGCCAATTTGAGGTGGTATGATATGAGTGTGAATTAGTGATTTTTTTTTTTTTTTTTTTGCACACCCTCACTAGTAACAAGCAGGCTTTGTCTTTACACTCAGAATAATGCTATATACAATAATTAATGTATTAATTAGTATAATGATGTGGCATCATTTAAAAAAATTTTAATATTTATAATTTGTATAAATAGTAGGGTCAATAATAATATCATAACTAGCGTTGATACATTAATTGGTGTATGTAACACTACCGTTACACTCAAGATCAAGTTAAATTCATCATTTAATTACATAATTAAAACCAAACCAACTTACCAGCCACACACACCTAAATATTATTTAGTAAATTAAACTGATTATTGATAACATTAGATAAGAAAAATCATTCTTACACACATTTGGTAATAATAATACATATCAAAAAAACATGATACAATTACAAAAGCTTGACAAACAAATAAAACAAGCAAAAAACTAAACAAATCAAAGCAAATTAGCAATAACATAGAAACAAAAAAGAAAGAGTGGATGTGAAAATGAAAATCTAGCCAGCATAGATGTGAACCCCGATGGCAATGAGAAAGATTGTGATGAGTCCAAAATAGATGATGGTGTGAATCAGGATCGACAAGCCACTAGTCTGCATGTTCCCGAATTCCACCACTCTGTTCCTCCCTGGTATCTGAAACAATAGCCCCGGCGTTAACAACACGAATAGCACCACCGCTATCACTACTGGCCCCCAATCCCCCATCTCTCTCTCTCCTCTTTTCTCTTCTATCTCTCTCTTTAAAACTCTCTCAATGTGTTATATGTATGTGATTCTCCTGTTATGCATATATATATATATATATATGGGGAATGAGATAAATAAAATCTCTGACCAGTAAAAATTATTAAATGGAGTCTTTAAAAAAAATTCAACTTGGTCATATCTTTATAAACTGTTAACGATAAGAATCTTTCGTTTAATATTTTGACCGCTAAAAATTTTAATTGTCTATGTTAAAACACATGTATTATTGATTTATTGTTGTCTTACAAGATTGTTGTGTATTACAAATATTGAGGTGCTTATTATATAGGAGAGGATTTTGGGAGTAGGTGAAGATGGGAGTGGAGGTGGTAGGTGGAGTGTAGTAGGTAAGGGTGAATTGGTGGTAGGTGTAGGTAAATTCTAACAGTCTAGTTCAATTTAACTGGACCCAACTTGAATTATATATATATATATATATACACGAGAGAGAGAGAGAGATAGAGAGGGGGGGGAGGGTTCTGTATATCGGGATTGAAGAGAGGAATAAAAATGAGATTTGAGGAAATTGAAAAAGGGAGGAATCGAATGAATGGGACAGATGCTAAAGCGATGGAGAAGACAACGAGGCAGCTTCATCTGTCAGATCTCATTTGCACTGTTGTTACATGGTATGTATGTATGTATGTATGTATCTATCAATCAATTATGTATATGTGTGTAGCTTATCCTTTACCCTAACTAATCAATAATTATCCACAACAAATCTATGGACCTGTTTGGTAGAGCTGTGGGAAAGTGCTTATAGCTTATGCCTAAACAGCTTATAGCTTATAACTTTCAGCTTAAGCTGATTTCCAGCTTATTTTTAAAGCATCTCCTGCCCCACTCAAAGAATAAGCTGATTTCTGACTTCCACAAAGCTATAAGTTATAAATTATAAGCTAAACCAAACACATCAAAATAACTTAAATTAAGCTGAAAGCTGAAATAAGCTGTAAATAATTTCTGCCAAACAGGCACTATGAAGAACTCACTAATAGGTTTTGTGATTGTGATTAAATTATAGAATTATTAATATATTGATCTCAAATTAATTGCACCATCTAGGCTTTTATTTATTTTACGTTACCCAATAAGGCATGCATAGGGTATGGTTTAGTTTCTTTACTTCATCTAATAGGTTGTCAAGATTATTAAAATATGTGATATTATTAGCACTTTATCAATTATTTTAATTTTTTTATTTTTTAGTTCTTTTTATTATAATAATAATTTTAAATGAAATTATTAAAAAAGACATAAATAATTTTGGGACATTTTATCTTATAATTAAGTCCACATACTCACTATATCATGAGTTAAGGTTTGTGAGAGTACTTACCTTCATCAATATATATCAATTTTCTCCAAATCTCACTTTCAAAAACTACCCACCCTCAAAATCTTGAAAACTCTTTGGTGGCAATATTCCGACGACAACAATGACAACCATTTGATTACATACACTTCTCCAGTAATGACAATGAGTGAAAATTTTTTCGGCAACCACAACTTCATGAAATGAGAGGAGTACTACAACAAAAACTCAGAAGAGGTTTATAACTTTGATGGTGTGTTAACTCAGAGGAAATAGACCTGTAAAGGTAAGTTTCTTGAAAAAAATAAAATAAAAATTGTTCGTCATTTGTTAGGGATTGAACTCCTCAACATATGATCAAAATTCAAGAATACAAGTTCGAACATTGTTTATTTGTTCGGAAACAAGTAACCGAACACTTTTTATTGGTTCAGGAACTAATAACCAAAGCAATAGTAGAAGCAGACAAATAAAGAAAGTCAGACCACCCTTGGGTGGTTGACCGAGGGGTCAATCGGTGAGTGAAATCCTGTTCATTTTTACAATGAGACCATAGATGAATGATAGAAAATCAATTAGGGAAGTATGAAAGTGGATTATGTTGTGTGTGTGAAAAGAGATAATAGAAAAAAAATCAAACAGATTGACAAATCTCGCAATGAAATAGAGAATGACTTCATAATCACTATAAATTTTTTTCACTGATTTGATAGGTTCTACCGTCGTGAGTTTTGTTAAGATTTTGAGAGATGCTTATTGGGGTGTAGGGGGTGTGGGGTGTACATTTGAATGGGTAGAATATTTTTACAATGATTTTAATATTAGCTGGAAGAATTTTTTTTTAATTTTATAATTTATATATATAATGGTCCAAAATGACAAAAAGTCCAAAATAAATGATATGATGTTAATAACATCACTCATTAAAATGCTTCATTTCAACGATAAGTGTCTCATAACGTGATTGCTTGTTAACTTAAATTTAGTGTTTGTTAGTTTGACATTATGTGACTCATTGATTGCTATAATAAAAAAATAAAAAATAAATAAAAAATTATGGTTAATGTAGTAGTATACTTTTTTGATTTGTAAAATTCAAGTATAATGATTTGACAATTAATTATAATATTAAAGACAATACTCTTTATCATATCTTTTTTAATTATCAACTAATCATATCAATTACACATCATTAGATTTAGAAAGTGAATTTTTGTATATCATTTTTCTAAACCTTGTGGATTATTACAAATAGTTGGTGGATATGCTCCCCACACAATTATTTAAGATACAACTCTCAGGGTCAAGCCGTGAATTCCCTAATTTCGGTGTAGATGATTTGCTTTTGACTGAACCGAAAAGAAAATTACTGAAATTGCGCGTAACTAATCAAGACATCCTTTACGGTTGAACCAAAAATTATAATTGTCTAGTTCAATTTAACTTTTAACTGGACACAACTTAAAAAAATTTTAATTGTCTAGTTCAATTTAACTTTTAACTGGACACAACTTAAATTATGGGTTGTTTTGGGAAGATGGTAAAAAGTGACTTTTTGGCTTTTAACTAAGTTTTTGGCTTTTTTAGACAAATGATTTGGGAAGTTGGTAAAAAGTGACTTTTGACTTTTTTGATTAATATTTGTTTATAGAACAAAACACAACATTTGATGTACTCTCTTTAAACCATGAGTTGAATACTCAATAAAAACATCAAAGAAAAACTAGCAAAATCTCTCCAGATATAAACCTTAAGATCCAAAAATAAGATCTGGAGAAGTTCCTCTATTGTTGGGAGAAAACCAACTATTTATAAAAAATCAAAGCAATCCTAGTTTCAGAAGAAAACCAACTCTTTAACAAATCTGGAAATCTGGGATCGCGTGGTCCGCTCGAGCTCCCTTTTCCCCGCTCGAGCGGAGACTTCAAATTCTGTGATTTCATACAGGCTCCACGCTCGAGCGTCGGTTTTGCCGCTCGAGCGGCAAATCACACTATCCAGTACTTTTGCAGGCGACTGCAGAGATGCTGAGAGCTTCCAATCCCCGCTCGAGCGTCCCTTTCCCCGGCTCGAGCGAGAATTCCTTGGCTCGAGCGAGCAACGACGGACATGCAATTTTGAATGCAATTTTACATTTTGCTTCGGCCGCGAGCTGACCGAGCAGCTCGACCCCCGTAATAATCAGCGAAGTGGCAATCTTGAAAGCATTAACATCACAAACTTCTCTGCATGGTTCGATTCGGGTTTGGATTCGCATCTAATAAACTCATAGCCTCACTGAAATAAAAGTGCGAAAATAAATACATCTTAAAGGAGTTTTGTCAAACGGGGTTGCCAAGAATAAAAACCTAACAATTATAATATTAAAGACAATACTCTCTATCATATCTTTTTTAATTATCAACTAATCATATCAATTACACATCATTAGATTTAGAAAGTGAATTTTTGTATATCATTTTTCTAAACCTTGTGGATTATTACAAATAGTTGGTGGATATGCTCCCCACACAATTATTTAAGATACAACTCTCAGGGTCAAGCCGTGAATTCCCTAATTTCGGTGTAGATGATTTGCTTTTGATTGAACCGAAAAGAAAATTACTGAAATTGCGCATAACTAATCAAGACATCCCTTACGGTTGAACCAAAAATTTTAATTGTCTAGTTCAATTTAACTTTTAACTGGGCACAACTTAAAAAAAATTTAATTGTCTAGTTCAATTTAACTTTTAATTGGACACAACTTAAATTATATACATATACACGAGAGAGAGAGAGAGAGAGAGAGAGAGGGGGGTTCTGTATATCGGGATTGAAGAAAGGAATAAAAATGAGATTTGAGGAAATTGAAAAAGGGCGGAATCGAATGAATGGGACAGATGCTAAAGCGATGGGGAAGACAACGAGGCAGCTTCATATGTCAGATGTCATTTGCATTGTTGTTACACGGTATGTATGTACGTATGTATCTATCAATTAATAAAAATGTTTTGGACTTTTAATTTTTGAGCTCTAGAGGAGTACTAAATAAGTGGATCTCATTTATGATGTGATGTATGTCTTTTTTTGTTTTATTGTTTTTTTTTTTTTTTGACTGTCACATCATTAGAGTTCTTTAATTAAAACTCTCTGTCATTACTGATCAATCAATTATGGGGGTGTTTGGGAAGAGATGGTTTAGGCTAATGTAGCCTCAAAAATAAAAATAGCCTAAAAGCCTCTAATCAAAAGGTTTTCAAAAAAAAAAAAAAAAAGAAAAGAAAAATGTGGCCGGCTGTGGCTGTCACTGTGACAGTGGTAGGCTGTCACTGTGACAGGTAGTAGAATTACACTATTGCCCCTATTGGTTTATTTTGAAAAATGTGAAAATAGGGATAAAATTGTCATTTTAATTACAAACATCATTTCAACACATTTTTCAATACACCAATTCAAATAAAAATCTATCTCATCTTCCCAAACATAAAAACTAAAATAGCCTACTAAAATAGCTAAAAAGTCAAAAAGCCTCTAAAATAGCCACTTCCCAAACGAGGCCTATGTGTACGTGTGTAGTTTTATCCCTTAACCAACCAATAATTATCCACAACAAATCTATGTAGAACTCACTAGTTTTATGTTTTGTGATTGTGATTAAATTATAGAATTATTAATATATTGATCTCAAATTAATTACACCATCTTGGCTTTTAT